CAAAGGAATGTTCCTTTTACTGTTTCAGCCAAGTGCTCTCTTTTCTGGCTGATCTATTTTCTATCAAACAGAGTGGTTTTATCTGTTTGCCTGTTTTTATTGCAAGCTCCTTGATTGAGGACTGCACACTTGGTTTTATATGATGTCATAGACATTATGAGCATTATGGGGAGAGCCAGAGAGCAGAGGGGAGTCAAATTGCAATTTCTGATGATGATTTCTTCTGTGTGGTTTCGAGCCAGTCAGTTCCCTGCTCTGTATTTTTCTTTCCTTGCCTCATGTTTTCACCAACCTTGTCTGCTTAGAAAGGCAGCTTCACAGCATAAGACCTTGTGTATATTTTTACAGCAGGGCCTGCCTAAAGTTGGTGATGGTTTTAGAAGCAAATATATTGCATATACAGAAAAAAGAAAAATTATTTTGTTGGGCATTTGCTATGCCAGGAGTTGTGCAGAGACTGCTCAGTTTTACCCATGGTATAGAATAATCCTTGTTCCTATTTAGGCTAAAATACATTTTAATGTTTCACCTGGGGATTTGTAGGTTGAAATCCACACTTTCCTAATAGGGTAAAGTTTTACTTGACCCTCATAGATAAAGTCTGGGCCTGCAGCATCATCCAGTTCTAATACTCAGTTTTAGAAGTGGGAGGGCTAGTCATGACATGGATCTGAGTTAAAATCACTAACCTGTGCATATATAAAAACATTCCTCCTTTTTCATTTTTCTTCCCTGAAAGAAATTTTATTTCAGTGCAAATTTTGGCATCTCAGAAAGGGAGTAAAAAACAATTTCATGCTGCTTGGTTTCTTTGATTTGTTTTTTGAGTTGTGTCTCCCCTTTTTTAGTACATTTTTATTATCACTGTCTTCCCCCAGTATTCTCAGATATGCAAATCACTGCTGTGCTGTGTTTCTGGTGTCCTCCTTCTCCCCTGCTCTGCTGAGATATCCAGAAACCTTTGAGCTCTTCTGTAGGCACCGTCTGTCCAGGTCCCAGCTCCCACGAGCACTTCTGCTGCCTGTTTGCACTGTGCCCCGAAGAACCCTGTCTGTTTTCCAACAATACACAAGCTGTTCCAAGACCTGACTATATGTGCTCTTTTGATTTCCTTGATAATTACTTTTCCCAAGATAGATTCCATTCCATTCCTTGTACAGGGTTTGCAGCCCTTAGAGCCTTCTGCTTGTTGGTACAAATGCTGTCTCTATACCTCCTTCTATCAGTTGTGGCAACCCTTGGGTTCTGTTTTGTCAGCCACATCTCTTCAGTCTCTCTTCTATCTACCTCTTAATGCCCCTACCTTCTACCTGCTAAATTATTTAACTTAGAATTTGTGTTAACCATTTGTGTGATTAACGGGTTTAGCTTTAGTGGAATGTTTCAGGATAGAACTTGAATAAAAGTTTCTGTACAAAGCAAAAAGTGTTGCAAATTATCATCTCAAAAAAGCTAAATTTGCCCAAGATGATTCCCAGAGTCAGATTTCAGAGATTCCTGGAGAATTTGGGGAATTCCCAGGATTCTCAAAAGCAGATTTGATTTTACCTGTAAAACCATAAATAGCCTATGTTAAAAACCAGCAGACAATGTTTTGCAGACCATGAGCTGGAGACAGTGGATTTTAATGACTTGCTTGGGATGATTGAAAAGTGTTTGTTTTAATTTATAAGTAATGTCTGCAAAGTAACATGTGGTTTTTCTTCCAATTACAAAATATTGCAGGCTCTTGAAGTGGAATTTATATGAAAATACTGAATAAAGCTTTCCTTTGAACAATCTGCATTACCATCATGCATCCATTCAGGGGGTTTAGGGCAATCTGGGAGATTTAGGGGTGCAGATTCTGTTCAAAATGGGCCCTGGGGTAAATATTAACTAAAATAGGTCTGTAAATATGGAATTGCTTCATAAAAATAAATAAATTTAAAAAGTAAATAATAAATATTTTATTTTGTGGCTACCAACAGAATGTCTGTGTGCCTTCCTGTAGCACCTTAAGCAGTAACTGGAAATTGGTTTATTCTGTTCATCAGCTATGAGTAACAAAAACCCTGGGTTTAAATTTTTTATTTAAAATTTTTTAACTGAGTTGCAGTCACTGTTAGTAACATTCAAAATGAAGCTGAATATATGAGCGTTTTGATTATGACTGACTGTGATTCAGTATTACATATTTGCTGGCCTTAGGAACAATGAGCAGTGCTCTGAGAGTCAGACACATGCTCGATGACTCAATGAAAGCAATCGAGGCAAGGCACCCGGGCTGCCCTCCTTTTGCAGAGGCTAAGCATCCATCTCTCCACTGCCATGGAATGGCTGCTGCTTCCAGGCACACACAGCTTTTGTCTGGCTTCCCCGCTGGCTGCGTGAGACCTCAGCAGAGAAATGAAACAGATCCAGGAACTGTTTCCTATGAATCAGCAGGGTCTGCAGAGCAGTGAAGTTGGTGCCTTGCCGGAGCTGTGACGTGATGTGCATGGGTAAGGTCCCCAGACGGTGCTGAGGGGAAGCCAGGTGGAGGGATGGCAGTTTATGTTTGTTGTAACACTATTTGACAAGGAATGCTGCAGGAGGAGGCTGCAGAGGAACCTCCTCTTGCTCTGTTGTGCTGTCTCCAGGAGCTGTTTGTTTCTCCCCAAGAAACTGTTTTCCCTTTTCTTCCCTGTGTTTTGTTACAGTAATTTTTCCTGCTATTGATTTTGCTGCTGAAAGTCCTGATTGCTTGTAGGAACCAAAAAGCCCAAGTTGAAATTATCCATCCTGAAAACACCTCAGAAATAGCAGTGTTATTCTGCACGTCCCTTCCTTGAGGACAAGTGTCAAGCCATGGTCAAACACAATCTCTCAGCTCTTAAATCCCACAGAAAGGCTGGGATGAAAGAGCTTAGAATAAAATATGGCTTCAAGTATTTCTCAAGTTTGGAGCAAACAGTTTCAAGTAACATGTTCTCAGTGAGGAGAAGCACATACTGGTTTTAGTAAAGCAGGGCACTGCAGGCAGTGGCCTCCAGTAGAAGTGTTTCCTCTCTATCCCAAACTGCCATAGCCATATTTTGCTGACGTACACATGTACATGCAATTGCAGGAAAAGCTTAGGACAAAGACCCTTCAGGATCTCCTGGGTTCAGCTTCTAAATTTCCATACCTACATTTGAGACATCCAAAACTTAGTAAAGAGGGGAGTTGCTTTCTGCTTTCCCTCTTTTCATCACTCTACACAAAACCATCAACAAAAAAGGGCTACAGAAAATTAATCAGTCACAAATATCCATAAGGTCCTGCAGAAATATCACTCTCTTTCTTGCAATAAAATAAATAAGGCTCATATTTTTAAGTGTTTCAATCATTTTTAATAGTAAAGAACTTCATAGACACTAACTGATCCTGGAAATGGAATCTTATTATTTAAAATTTTTTTAAGAAGTTTCTAAAAGAAACTTAGAAATCTTTGAGAGATACAATTAATAAAACTAATTGGTGCACTTAATTGCATAATGAAAGTGAGACTGATAAGTAGATAACCATGTTAGCTGGATATTCTCCTATTACAGCTGATAATATTAGTTATTGCCAGTCTGTTGGCACTGTAAGAAGTATAAGCTCAGTTACAGATCTTTCTGGAGGGTTCTTCTTTCTGGACTGCTTACTGAAAGAAGTCAAAGTCCAAATGAATCCTGAATTGCATGGTAATAAATTTCCTGATTGACTTGCAGAGCTACCAATTAAAAAAAAACCAAAACAACCAACCCAACTGAAGCCCCAAAGCTTTGTAATTAAATTGTTGGAAGCAAGAGAGAAATTGTCAGACAAAGCTTGCTGATAAGAACACACAAAAGAATGGAAAAATAATTGCAGAATGGAGGAATCAGTATAATTTTCCTGCTCTCTTCCTGTTACAAATTCTATCTTTTTTAATATAGCTGATTAATGTTACAATTGTTGCTATATATACCGTGTATATATACCGTAACTTTTAGATGAACATTTCCTCACACTACATCATTCCTGATTACAAAATACACAAATATAAATCAACCACAAGGCATAATTTAAATTATAACAATGAACTGGCTCGTCCTGTGCAGAAGACAATGCAGAGCAGCTTTACAGCAGAACTTGGGACAAGCAGGATGAAAAGAAGATGCCATAATGTGGCAAGTGAACCCAGCAGAGCAGAGACCCAATCTTTGTGTCACCCTGAGTGCAGAGCATTCCTGAGCCAGGCCTAGGACCAGTGCCTGCCTGTGCTCCATGCCTGCCAGCACTGCACGTGCACAGAGTCCTGTCAAAGCCAACTGTGCCCCGCAGACATCTGAATCCCCTCAAGGACAGGCAGACATTCCCAAAGACAGGAGCTGAATTCCAGAGCTACCTGGTTTGCTGAAAGACATCTGCAATATGAACTCACTTCCTCTGCCAGGAGGCAGGGAGCTGCCTGTTACCTCATAAACTTAGTTGAAAACTAGAGCACGTACTTCTACACGCCACTGCAGTACATGGGCCAGTCCACCACAAGCTGACCCAAGAGTGCCTGGAAGAAATTTAACAGGCTTCTCTTTTAACATCCTGGCTCCTTCACTCGCTTTGCTTTTGTATATTTACTCTAAAAAATACAGTATCATAATACAAAGTTATTTCCAAGAGATTTGATTTAGGAAGCTCACATGATAAGTGGAAAAAAAATAGTATTCATGAGGCCAGATTCTAGACTACACTAGGGGGGCTCAGTTTCTTTTACCTGGAGAGAAACATCTCCCACCACCAAACAAAAAGCACACTATGTGGTATTTATTGTGGTATATATGTGGCTCCACCACCACAATTCTGTGCCTTTCCAACTGTGATACTGTCAAGAGAGGGACCAGCTTAACAAAGCCGTGCTGCCAAGACAAGAGCAATGTGCACACAGAACTCCAAGCTGATGCTTTTCTGCCAGAGCTGCTGCAATAAATTCAACCCACTTTGCACCAAGATACAAAAAAAATAGTATTACACACTGAAAAACAGAAAAATAGCTTTTAATCAACATATCATCTAACAAACACATCTGGTTTTTTTGGCTATGAAACACAACAATTCTGTTTTAATTCTACCTGAGCTCTTCAGCCTCCTCCTTCTAAAGCCTGCAAATTTTCTAGATATTGGGTGACAGCCTCTATCTCTGCAAACTCCAGCAGTCTGTTGATCAGTTTATCCAGTGCTTCTTTCCCACTTAGAATTTCCTATGGAAAAAAAAGACAAAAGCATTAAAGCATTACTGACTGTCCTTCAGCATTATTCCGAAACACCAACTACTCAAACCCCTGAAATGGACTTTGCCTGCAGTCACTCCACTCACTCATCCTTGCAGGCCCCTCCCATGTGAAAGCAGCAGTGGTGGGCAGCAGCAGGACAGCAGCTGCCTGCCTGTGCAAGGCACATGGATTCTGGCAGCAATAAAAGCAGCTACTGCCCTGCTTTCATGTAACCCATGCACTTACATGAAAATTCCCTGCAAGAACAATGAAGGATTGAAGAACCTCATTCCAATACTGTTGTCCATGGCAAGAGAGAGGCTGTTTTGCAAGTAAAGCTCAACTAACGTTTGCTAGGCAGTTTATGGTTCCAGTTTCCCTCAAGAAAGATACAAACACTAACAACTGACTAACTGACTAACAAAAGCCACTTTTATGCAATCATGGAACTATTTCCTCTGCTGTGGTATTCTGCACTCCAGTTACTATGAACAATTCCATACTCACTATGCCCTGCATTCTCTAGAGTTACCCAGGACACCTGTGGGTACAGTCTGAAAGTGTTGCTCCTTATGCAGCAGTACTTACAGCCAACTGGATACCTAAGCCAAAATATTGAGGGATCACCCTAAACTTTGTTTTTCATAAATTTAATACAAAAAAAATTCACCATTAGGTTTTTTTTCCCCACTGTAAAAACCCCCAATAAACAGAATCACTGAATGGCATGGGTTGGAAGGTACAGGAAAGATCATCCAGTTCCAACAACCCCCTGCTAGGGGCAGGGACACCTTTCACTAGACCAGGTTGCTCCAAGACGCATCCAACCCAGCTTTGAACACTTCCAGAGATGAGGCACCCAGAGTTTCACTGGGCAGCCTGCTCCAGTGTCTCTCTATGCTCACATTAAAGAATTTTTTTCCAATATCTAATCTAAATACACCCTATTTTAATTGGAAGCTATTCTCCCTTGTCCTGTCACTACATACTCTTTTAAAAATTTCCTTCTTTCTTGTAGGCTCCCTTTGAGTACCGCAAGGCTGCAATTAGGTCACCCCAAAGCTTTCTCTTTTCCAGGCTGAACAATCGGTAAGATTCAAGCTATATGCAGATATTTACTCAGAAACAAGATCTCAGATAATCTTGAAATTAAAACATTCAGTTTTGGTTTCTTTTAACTGTGGCCTGTGATGCAAACATAAAAGTTTTTCTCGTTCTTTACTCCACCAGTAGGAGGAGTAAAGAATGGCCTAACAAAAATAAGAAGTCCTTCCCGTCAGGTTTTTGGTTTGAATGTACTATGCCTCAAGAATCTCCAATGTCACTTGCTCAGTTTGGCCAAAGGACTCATGGATCTCATTGAGGACTACATGCTTGGTCACTTTTCTCTCATATAGTAGGAGAAAAACACACAGAGATGTAGACCAGTGAGCTACAGCCTGTGCCAGAAATCCCTAAGACTACAAGAAAGCAGGAAAGAAAGTTTAAGTTTTGTAAATCTAGTGTTCTGTCAGAGCACAACTCGCTACTTTCATCATATATATATATATATACATATATATATATATATATATATATCTTAAATTGTGCTCATTAAGTTTATTTTTTCTTCTAACAGTAAACATAAGTATCTAAATACTCTCTTAAACAACCCTTACCTTGATATTGCGTGCATCATATGAGATCCTGTGGTCAGTGACTCTGTCCTGGGTGAAGTTGTAAGTACGAATTCTCTCTGACTGAGCTCTTGTTCCTAACTGCAACAAAGCAGGAAAAAATAAAATCTGTTGTGTTTTTAAAAAAACCAATACTTCTCTAAAACAGGATAATTAAAATACACTCTAATGGATCAGCCTGTTCCAGCTACTAACCTAGTGGTCGCTGGTTTGGCACACGGGATTTTTTAAAAATATTGTGGCATTACTGAACTGTATTGTTTGTGATTCTGTATCACAAACCAAGTTTCTATATCCTCCAGCACATTTCTGTTCCAGCTCTGTAGCTGAAAGAACCACATAACTCTCAGAGGTCGTGTAAGTATGAAAGTCCTTACTTCAAATAATATACAAGTGGGATTTTCTGGGGGGAGGGCTGGGGGAGTGTGGTTGTAGCTTCCACACAAAATAATGAAAATAGGCTCCATTAATAACAGAAGCAGCACAGTCAACGTGTGGCTGTCAGAAATTAGCACCAGAAGAGACTTAGATTAAGAGTAAGAAATTAAGTTACCCTCTAGTGGTGAAGTGTGAGAGTGCAAACAGCAATTCTAACTTTTGAAGCAGAACCCAAATGTAGCACTGTCGGGATTAAATGCTTCATTAAACACTGTGGTCCCCGCTAAAATGGATAATTAAATGCTAAAAAAACGCTCAGAGAAATAAATGTGTGTCCATTTCAGTGGGCTTTGGTGAAAATTTCATCTGGATTCAACATGTACATTTTAGAATGTGGAATTTCATGAAAAATTCTGAAATATTAGGAAAGGTAATTTACTTTTGCCTGATTTTTCACACTAGTCATATAAATGTACATAAATATAAATATAAGTCCTTTATGCAGCTTTGAAGGCTCTCAAACTGAAATTAACAACAAAAGATAAACGGCTCACATTTATGCTTACAACATCGGGGTTAATAATCTGCAGGGACAGTATGCTTAAATGCAACCTGAAATAAGTGATTAAATAGCTGCGCTGGAAAATCTGGAGTACTGAGTAATTCTCTAATTCTGAAGCATTTCTATTCCAATAGATCACTGTTGAAGTTTGAACCACAGAAGGGAAAATACTCAAAGAATGGGAAAAGAATGACAGGACATTTCGAGAGAAAAGCACACTTCGCAGCCTAACTTGAGGTAACTCTTCCAAAGAGTTTCTTTCTCAAAAGGTTACCTAAACTGTATCAAATAAGCTGCTACTTAATTGCAGAGTTGACAGGATTGTTTATTCATTTGCTTCTCTCAAAAGCTTTGTATGGCCTTAAAATACTCTCCTTTAGAAACTTCTGAGAACTCCCGATCCTAGTTTTCATTGAATGTGACTTTTTACTGATTCTTAATTTGTGTAACTCTGGCCTTGACAGGGGCATTCAGTACACAATGTTGAATTTTCCCTTTTGAAAGATTTCAGCCAGTCTTTTGACTCTTCTTTCCAGCCACGGTTGATGTCTCTTTTCATTGCCTGAGTAGTCTACAATAGCACTGAACTGGGGTAAGTAAAGGCAGACTTTCCATTTTAAAGTACAAGATTCTCCTCCCTTGTAAGCACCCCCAGTTATACACACACTCTCACCTGCACTGTCCTCGCCACCCAAAGAGATCAGAAACAAAAAATCTACAACACAACTGCCTCTGCAGATCTCAGGCACCACTTGTCCTCACCTGCAGCTTCCTGGCGCTCTGCTCTTGGCTGAGCTGCTTTTCAATGACCTGCTGGTACAGCTTAGCTCTCAGTGTCCGCAGAGCTATTTCCTTGTTCATCTGCTGCGACCGCTCCTGCTGGCACTCAACTGCCAGGCCTTTACAGAGGCATCCAAGAGCCCATTATAACAAAGAACAAACAAGCTGAATTAATTCTAACACATTAGGCAAATGAAACCTACTGGAGTGCTGGTTTGTAGGGCTTTTCAGCTGTAGGATAAAAAGTCATTTTAACACACTGGCCAGAACCATTAGTGAGTTTTAAAACTTGTCACAGATGCACCAGGGAGCTTTGTTCCATGCTACAGAAAAGTCAGGGATATTTTAAAATCTCATGAAGTAAACAAGTTTCTGACATTGCCTCTAGAAACTGGGTTCACTCCAATTAGCTGTCATATGTTAAAAATTCAATTTGAACAGTCTACAAGAGCATGTTTAAAAGAGTGTAACACAAGTTTTTAAAATCCAGATAAGCTCTTGGAGACTGGAAAATTCATTATTCTAGGAGAAGAGGGTGCCAAACCAACACTGGTGAGTCTTGAACTTATTTATGAAAAATGAGATAAAACCAAATAAAGGTCTTTAAAAGAAATGTGTATTTTCTCATTTGATTTCTGAAAGAAAAAGGCATCTAGGGAACAGCTGTTTTCAGGTCACTACTGGAATTTCCCATGCCTAAAGTGATTCTGCATCTGTACAGAGAGAAGCTCGTTGGGTTTCAATAAAATAAATCCCAAAAAAGACAGAGTGGTTCAGTCGACACAGTACCTTCCCATGAATATACATTTTCCTTTCTATCCAACATATATTAGAATTATCTAGTATTCAATTAAAATATTCAAGCCTTCTTTTTAATCAGTCATGTAACTACACAGATTCCAGCTAGGCTATGCATGCCCTTGTTTGCCAGTGGCCATTACTGCTGAAGGTACAGAGCACACAGTGTAAATTATTTACATCTTCTACCCCATCCCTGTCACCCTCCATTTGTTCTTTCATCCTTCAAAGACAGTGTATTCATGAAACACCCCCTCTAAAGACAAAACTGGCATAATCACTGTGCCCCTGGTACACAGCCCCTTTCTCACATTGTCTGGTTACAGGAGGAACAGAACCAGAAGGGGCTACTTCTCTTTTTTCGGTATAAGGCCCAGACCTGCAAGAGATAACTTGCAGGATAACAGGCTTCCTTTTCAAGATACAGATTCAGTGTGATTAAAAGTACAAAGTACAGTCAGACTTACCTGTAGGAAGATGCACAATCCTCACAGCACTATCAGTTTTGTTAACATGTTGCCCTCCTGCTCCTCTGGCTCTGAATGTATCTATACGCAAATCTTTGGGATCCACTTTTACATCAACCTAGAATCAAAGAATTACTACTTCCTGCTCATTTTAAATATATTTGGATGTCAGTGACACTCAGCATTACTAAGAAATCACTTCTCAAAAAATTGCTCCTTTACAACTGCTCCTAAGTAACAGTCATAACCATTATAATTTTAAAAATTCCATGTCAAATATTTCTGAAAAGCAAATGATGTCTGAAAGATTTCACTTAGTTTTTCAAACTCTTACTCCAGGTCCTTCACAAAACAAGGTAAGTATGTGTGTGAAACAAAACAAAATCACTGTTTTGCAAAACCACTAGCTTTGGCAGAGAGACTAAGAAATAAGCAAATAATGAAAAACCACTTCTAAACATTAGTGCAAGGATCTTGTTCATGAGTCAAGCCTGAATGATTCTTGCAACAGTTCTTAGAATCATCTGAGGAGAAAATAGGTATATCCAGATTCATTCAAGTAAGGACTGCCACACTGGAAATAGGAGTCCATGATGACCTGGACCATAGTTTGAGCTCAATGGATGGGAAAGGAACATTCAGATCTGATCAATGTTGCAAGGAAAGTATTATGAAGAAGCAGGAGAAGCTGCAGGAAACGCCTACAGGATCTGGTTTTGCTTATTTTTTGTGTAAATTGGTGGTCTAAGTGAGAATTGTTGGTATCAGCAAGATCTCAGACAGACTAGCCAACACACTCATTCACATTCAAAGGAGACTGTCCTTGATTTACCAGAGAAGGACAACAATAATTTAAATGAAACGAAAAAAAAAAAAAGAATCAAAAGGTGTACAGAATCACATTACTATACAACACTTAGTATTTTCTTGGATATATTCTGTCTTAATTTGTAATGTAATTTAAAATTGGCTTACTCATAGCAGTGAGCCTTGTCAGTGTTGGGGCTGGAACACTTAACCAAATGATCACTCAAATGCCATTTTAGGCAACAGCAAATCTCTGCAAAGTCACTTCTGAAGATGCATTTATACATGTAAGGTACAGAGCCAAGGACTATCACCTTCCAGAGTCAGAACACTTGTGGTTCTTTCACTGGGACTTGCACAAAGCACTTGGTTATCAGTGAAATCCCCAAAACAGTAACATGGTTTTAAATAACACCTACTCCAATGTCAAAATGGGTGAGCAAGGGCTCAGCACCACCTCATTTCATTGCCATGCCAATGAACAGCTTACCTCCTCTGGCTGAGGGAGGACAATGACTGACATTGTCCCAGTGTGAATACGCTGCATCCTTGATGACATGCCTGTCTCAGGGATTCGCTGGACTCGGTGAGTTCCTCCTTCATATTTCAGATGCCTGTAGACATTCTCTCCTGAAATATGAGCAGCAGCATGATGCAAGCCTCCTGGAGAGACAAACAGTGTGTGACATAAACAGCAGAGAAGCACTGCTTTCAATTTTATTGTCTTGGTGGAACTGCTGAAGAACTGCTGTACCTATCTCAGCTGGCGTATAGTTCATTATGTCAAAGGTCCAATGTTTGTAGTCGGCATAGCTCTGGTACATCTCAAACATTTCTTTAGTGAACTGTTGGCAGATGTCCCCTAAAAATTAAAAGGCATTACCATATAAACAGTGAACTGCCAGCAGATGTCCCCTAAGCATTAAAAGGCATTACTACATAAACAGCAGTTTTTACACTTAGCTGCAATTCTAACCCCAGTCATTAGGCAGGTTAATGCTCATCTTTAGAAAGTATTACTTTATGCCAATAAAGTATAAAAAAAGAATTAAGAATAACCCATAAGAGGTTTAATGGAGTTGGATGGAGATTGGAAGCAATCTTCACTGTAGGGGCTTTGCTGACCTCCAGTTGTTCTGCCAGCTGTCACTTCTAATATGACAGGACTTCTATCATATTTTTCCTTTGGCACTAGAAGCTGGAAAAGCTGGGAAAAAAAAAAGAAAAAAAAGAAAAAAAAGAATGCCATTATCTCCTTCATGACCCTGGATCTTTTCTTAATCAAATTTACAGCCAGCCTTTACAATTGCCACAGCCTGAGCACACAAAACCACTGACTTCCTTTGACAAGCTAGTTAAGTAACTAAAAACTGTCCAATGACCATTGCAACTCAGTGCAGTCAGTGTGGAACTGCAACATGCTAGTGCACATGATAGCTAGCTGAAAAGCCAGTACTGCCAAGTCAGGTGCCAGGTCACCCACCTCAGCCCCAGCTACCTATGAAGACAAAGTTAACCCAGCCAATCTTTACATTAATCTTACTTTTCAGAAAGTCACATTTCATATTATTTTAGTCTGAATATAGAAATGAGCCCAAACACAGTAGTCTCCACTGAATTGTTTCAACTTCTTTGCTTATATTTTCCCCACTCATGGGGTGCTGTCAGCTGAAGAGAAAATGAAGGACTTCAAGCTCCAGTCAGAAATCCTTCGAGTGCATGCTCCACTGCCACAAACAGTTACTAGGATGTCATATCAAGTCTCAGTAGCACAAACTCACCACTTTTTTAATACCCTTCAGCATTTGCAGACAGACAAGCAAGCAAGAAAAATTACTCAATTAGTCATCGTCTAAGACAAAATTGTCACTAAAAAGCTTACTAATGATTAATGTTGTCAATTCTTTTCAGGGAGAACACAGAAGCTGGACTTCTGTATCATTAAACTCAAGTGTCAGAATCCATTGGTAAGATCATAAAGGAAAGGTTTTCTGACATCTTTATTTACAAAGCTGTAAAATTTTACCTCAGGCTCACCTTTCTGCACAACATGTTCATTTTTTTATCCAGGCTTTCCTTCTCTTCTAAGGCAAGCTCTAGAAGTTGATTCTCATCTCTGCTGTCTAGCTCTAAATTCCAACAACAGGAATAGATGTTAGCCAATCTCACCTAGAGCAAATTATAACATAGCTGTCCAAAGACATGCACTGTAGCACAGAAAAGCTTGTAATGTTTTGCCAGCATGAAACACTCAAATAAAGCAGCCCAAGCTAGGATGCACATTGCTAACTCAATGATCATACTTTCCAGGTGTACTAGAAGGAGCAGCAGATATTTTACCTGTGATTAGACTGCCCCTTCCCACATTTTAGAGCTTACTAACAAACTATGACACATTCTCAGGTAAAGCTCACAGAAGCTCCAAGCCTTTTCTGCTCCAGTTTACAGTAACAAAAAATGCTGATCAGTTAGCAATAGATTTTATGCTAAGTAGAAACCTAGAAGACAGTTGGAGTCAAGTGGAAAACCTGTCACTGCTTAAACAGGAATCCCATCTCCTTTTCCTCTTTCTTTCCACTTTTCTACTCACCAGAAAGCGAAACAATTTAACTCACTGAAATGAAAAAAGCAAGTCTGGTTGAATAAATGTATGTTTTTAACATGCCAAGTTGATGCCAGATTTAAACTAGAACTGGACAATTACCAACACAAATGAGGAGGGAATGGCTGAAGCCAGCTTTGAGCAGCTGGGAGTAAGAGTGAGGAAACAAAGCAACACAGAGGAGGTGAAAACCTGTTTTGTGGCCAGGAAACCATACGTTTGTCACAGATGCAGCATAAAACGGGACTCTCAATGGGTTCTAGTTGGTCTAAAAAGTATGCTTATTGATCAGTTATACAAACAGTATCAAACTGACAAATGACAGTATCAAATTCTGTCAACATCACTGAGAGATGGTCTAGTGGTGACCAATGAGCCTAAGGTTCAAAGGGCTGGTATCCCATTCCTGCAAAACAGAATTCACTTAACCTACCTCATGACTCACATCACTAGAGAGAAACTGGGAAATATTTTTCTGCTTCACGGAGTGTTGCAAATATAAAATCCTACATCAATTGTTAGGAATTCAGGTACTAGAGAGAAGAGGGTCAGTTAGGGAGCTAAGTGGAAAACAGTGAACAGCCAAATGAAGGGGACATCTGTATTTTAACTTGACCACAGGATAAATGGTACGGAGAGAATAATTTGGGTCTATTTAATTAATTTATTGGCTGTAATTTTTTACCATTCTTTTATCTTCTTTCAACTAGAATTCACTCCATTCCTCCACATCATAGTTTATGGAGCAAGAAAAATTTTTCACTATATTTGATCCAAAAACAGCCTTTCTAAGTTGAAATGTGAGTTTTCCAGTTTTCTTAACACTTTTTAATTCTTTCAAGAACGTTTCTTTTTCAGCATTAAATTTTTGTACTTTGTCTCCTTCAGTCTTTCTACTTTTTTCTCCGGTGAAGAAAATTAGAGGGTTGAGGATTAAAATATTTTAAATAACCATTTTTTATTCCAAAAGCACAAACATCTATTTATTTTAAAAACTAAAGTATACAAATGTTTTCTACCTGTCTAAATAAGTTACATTTACATCTTTATTTCAGGATGGCTCTTACTGTTTTGTCCACACCCCTGGGCTCTCTCTCTGAAAAGCACCATGAACTTTTGTCCTCCTCCATTCAGACTGCTGGGTACAGATTTCTCCTACCCTTTGATTTTCCCCTCCTTCACTGCTTTAATGTAAACCCCACTCTCTCCAGGTCAATGTTTCCCTCTCTTGACTTAATACTTACCACTGTAGCAGAATGGATGCCATTTTTTCCTTCCTACTGTGTGCACCTCCTCATACTATGCTGGGTTTTTTCCCCAAATCTTGTACCATTACTTATTTTGTAAATTCTTTTATTTATTCCCTGTGTACTTTCTTATTACTAAATGGTACAAAAGCCAGTGACAAACTTTGATTCTTTTTTTACCCCAACTTCTACTGTGACAGACTACTGAAAAGCAGCAGCTTCTTAAAGAACCATCATTTTTTATTTCTTAAAGGACTCCCCAAATATTTTCCAAGAAATATTAGCTTTTGCCATTTAAATTGGAAACTTACAACTCAGAGCCTAATGAAAGTTCATGTCATTTGCTCAATAAATATCACTGAACTGGTCAGATGGAATCCCATTTTAAATAACACAGCTGAGGTCTGCATCTATCAAAGGTTTTAGGCTCGCTAATTTATTTTCCTCAGTTCAAACTGCTCTCAGTTCAACTAAAAAATAACCTCAAAATGAATGCTTCCTAACTATTTCTGTTAGATGGATATTCCTGAGGTTCCAGACAATCCCTGCTCTCCCAAAATTACCATATTAAGAGCTCAAACTAAAGTGATGTGAGATGAAAAATACAAGGATGTGGCTGGATGCAGAAAGCCCTTGCAGCAAAAAAGCTCCCAGGAGCAGGGAGGACCGGGGAGTGTTCCAGGGCTGGCTGAACTTACAAACTTTCCTTAAAGGCTGAGCAATCAAATTTATCACAGGCACAGCTGCTGTTCTGAAGCAAGCAAGTAGACGTGTTTTCCTTTACCTGTGCACATCGCTTCTAATTCCTGAACTTCTCTTTCAGCCTCTTTGATTTCTTGAAACGCAGCTGCAATGGGGGAGAGATCAGCACACCTTCTCCTCAGGGTTCTTTGCTCAAAGTCATTTAATGAGTCTGCAGTTAACTGACGACTAACCTGCTGGTATTCCTTGCTTAGAGTCTCCAGATACTTCTGCACAGCCTCATGCTTCCACAAAGTTTGAGAATTCTGATGTTTTTTCCTGTGCTGACTGTTCAAAGACAGAGTGAATCGAGCTGTGTCCAATAAAGGCTTTGGCCTCCAAAATCCATGGCTGTGCAGTCCCACCATGCACCCTATCTTCTTTGCAACAGGAGAGAGAAGACAGCTGTCAAGTTGGCTGTGACAGCAGCAATTAGCAAGCAGGCTCTTGAAAAGACAGACCTTTTGGAAAGGTTTCATTTTTTTTCTTATTTTTCCACCACCTGAAATTAAAAGTACACAATACATTGGCCAGTGTTTTTATCTAGAAAAAGAAAGCATTCTATTAAGAAAAAACCCACAACAAAGAAACACAAGGATGGTATCAAGCCCATATCCTGGTTTAATTACACTGACACAAATATAACCATCATGGACAAAACTATTCCTGTTTTAGTTACAGTTTAGAGCACAATTTATCACCACCATTGTACTGACTGAGGGTTGGAAAAAGTCTTTTCTCTCTTCTCCTCAGTTTAGTTATACTTCGGAAAAGCTCCTGTGGATGAAACTTTACAGACAATAGCTTCATTTTGCCATATGTCTCCATATGGAAAAAATCCAGCCATTTCATGCCTTACTGATGAAAGAAAAATGTTGCTGAGAAGAAAAATCAATACTAGAGGTAAAAAATTATATATAGAGAATGTAAGAAATGTCCAGAATTATGTGCCAAATTATATCCACTACTATAAAAGGAGGACATTAGTAGATAACCATACAACAGATCAGTCAATAGGACTGCAATGCCCTTACAAAAGATTTCTCACTCATACATGAAGAAGACAGGAGAACTGCTTTATGTCCCCTGTATACTCCTTACTGTGATATATTTACACTTTAGCAACATAATATTTTCCATCCAAAAGGTGAGTAAGAAGCAGGGATTCTGAAATACAACTCTTGTATTTTTCTGAGACACTTACTTGGCTTACAGCTTTATAGGACCCAGGCTCCCCTCAGCATTTCTGCTGCTCTATTAAAGTTCATTTCCTCTTCATTTTATATCATCGACATTGCAAACTACATTATGAATTACTACTGTGATCTAAAATTTTATATTGGAGCTCAAGACTCTACCAGGAAGACTAAGTTAAGACCACACTTATTCTAGGACTACTCACACAGAAAATGTTCAATAAAGAAGCATTCCTATAATCCTGCCCGTGCCATGGCCCCATCTGTCCACTGATTTTTACAAAAAAGTGGATTCTGAGAAAGTAAGAGCATGAACCTTTTTGCAACAAGATCTCCTGGAAACGCACGTTTCAGCTTCCTGACACAATTCTTTTTTTATTCATCAGTGACAAGCCCTTCTGTGCATCTTCATGCATTTTATCAACAAATTTCTGCGACACTAACTACTCAACTCACCCATTATTCTCACTTATTTACTTTCATCCATTTGTCCACAATAAAGAAAGTGCAGTATGAAGTAAAAAGAGATCTTATTTGTCTTCTTTTACTACCAACAGAAGGAAGCAAGGACTTTTATTCTACTTCTATACCCTCCCCAGATTCCCCAGCCAGCAGGTGCTATTGAATCCTCAGCAGCAATTTCAAGACTGTTTTAATGTACAGAAAGCAAATTATACCCCTCCTGGATTGCTATAGGGACTAATATCAGCTGCAGCAGAGGGATCCTGCTCCCTTCACCAGGAACACAGCAAAAGGCAAAAACCAGGCTTATAATCTATGATTTTGGATTTAGGCAGGAGTGGACTCAGTTCCAAAAGACCTAATTCTGCTAATGAATATGGACTTGCTCCAGATCAGCATGGCCTGTTGTTGCTTGGCTAAGTGCTGACCATCATCAACTCAATTTTAAAATATTAATGTTATATTTTATTTTAATTAATTAATTAAACATATTAATTACAACCATCTAGCTAATTTTTACTGGTGTAGTTAAGAAGAAATGTACCTCAATAATAACAAATTTGTTGTATTGCTTTGCTTGAGAGCTCAGAAATAAAATTTTTGCGTTTAAAAGCATAAAAAAAAAAGAGTAATGAAATTACATAGATCTTCAAAAGTAGTCAGATCAGAAGTTTCAAAATAATTTTGCTATGTTAAATAAAAAAGGTATTTCCTTCTCAGAGAGGGGTTGCCACACCACATTTGCATAAAAATAAACAGGCATATAACTTTTACAGAGCTATGAGCATTAGACGACCTATTAAATGGTCTCTAAAATAGATTTTAATAACTTTTTAATGTGATTAAAACTACCTCGTGCACATCACAAATCAAAAACCAGTAAGCGAAAGTGACAATTGTAATAGTCCCATTAAAATAATAATAAAAAAATTAATAATAATTTCAAGACAGGAAAGAGTTCTCAATCTTGCGAACTCTTTCAGAGATTATAAAACGCATTTCCTACAACCCAAGATGTCACCGGCGCCATGTAGCAGCTCTCAGGCACACCCGAATTCGCAGGTACAGGGCCGGAGGAGGCACTCCAATGCACACCGACTGCATCAGGAACAGCTCGAGGCCGCGTCCCGGGAGCACCTCCCACACACCTCTGCCTCCCACCGCGGCCCCCGGCAGGGAGCGCCCCGGCAGCTCGGCCCCGCTGCGGGACTCACGGGGCAGGGAAAGGCTGGAGCGGGCAGCCAGAGCTGGGAAAAAAAAAAGAAAAGCAGGAGCGCGCAGGGAAAAGCAGGAGCGGGCAGCGAGAGGAGGCGGGAGCGGGCAGAAGAGGCAGGAGCACGGGCGGGGCGGGGGCGGCAGCGCTCCCCGGTACCCGCGGCGGGGCCCCGGCACTCACCGTCCGCACGCCCGGGCGCCGCACGGATCGCAGCCCGGGCCGCGGGGCCATGGCAGACGGGAAGTGCAGCCAGCGCACTCCGGTCCCAGAATGCCTGCGGGAAAACGCGCTTCCCGTCTCCCCGCTGCCGCCGGCAAAGGCAGTCTCCGCCTTCGAATCTGGTTAGTAAAAGGTTAATTTCAGAGAAATCTGAATAAAATAACATTAAGCTTCACTTTGTGTCGGAGCTCACTATTCAATTCTATTCAAAACGAATGATTACTATGCTACTAAAGGCAAACAAAATATTAATAAACATTACCATTCTGATTATGATTATGCTAGTTAGCTGAAGCTTCCTCATAAAGAACGTTTTAAAACATACTATGTATGTGGACATTTTAAAAGCTATTATTAAACATTATACCACTATCTCCCTAATTAAAATTTTAAAAACACTTAATGTTTTTTTATACCTATAATCACCAAAATACCTTTCTTCCCAGCCACCGTCATTCTACAAAATTAAAAAAAAAAAAAAGAAAAAAAAAAAAAGAAATGGTAGAACTTTTGTATTTGGCATATAAAATATCACTGGGATTTGGTGTAGTAAATGTTCCAAAAGACTGAAAACATAATCAATCAATGGGTAGGATTTGGATCAAACCTCAGTGCCTAAATGACAACTAACCACTTGTTTAGACCTGAGGACAGCTTCTGGCTCTGCTCCAGCCATGGGAACAGGAGGCAAGAAAGACAGATGGAAAACCACTTCCAGAGAGAAAAGAAAGGACCCACTCTGCAGCTGGTCCAGTCTTCAAAAGGGCCACAGCAAACAGCACCCTGAAATCTTCACCAGGCCTGAACCCACAATGATGTGCCATTAGAGATGCCATGAGCCAGACACCATTTCCATTCTACCTCACTCTTCTTCCACTATGACTTCTGGGACTCAGTGAAATGAAATAATAAAATTATACTTGCATTGGTACTCTAAATATGCAATTTGATACTTAAAAGTATGGGGAAGGTACTCTGGGAAGACAACCAAGAACCTAGTAACCTAAAACTGCAAGTAGACCTCATGCTCCAAAATTGGTTTTAAAAGAACGGAGTAGGTCAAGGAAAATCAAATCAGCTTCTACTCCAGCCAGTAATGGTTCTTGATTTAAATCCTCTGATTAAACATGATCATGATCAGTTTTTATTATGCCTTGTGAGTGAATGTTTTAACTTCAGTGTGAAAATGGAGACTGAAACGAAGTTCTGCTCCCTCCCTACCAGGCAGCAAAGCACTCAGGGGCTACACAGCCAAGACAAGGGCTGGACTCTTGTGCAGTCAGCAGGGCTACCAGGGTCCATTCACCACAGGACTTGTCCATGCATCTCATATTCAAAACATGTACGATACACTCTTTCCCTGTTTACCATGTGCTTTCAGACTGCAGTATGGGAACTGAGTATGAAGGGTGTGAAATCTGTGCTTCTACCCCTCTAACAATTTGTTTCGATGTCTTAAAACCTGCATGGCTGATGCAGCTGGAGCTGATGAAGATCAGGGGTTATGGGGCATGGGCTATTTGGGGCAGGGTGCCACCACCTTCCTCAGCAGCCCACAGTGACATTGGGTGCAGAAGGGAAGAGTGACAGCAGGAAGACAGCTGGGCTCCTGGGCTTCGGGATAGTTATGGTGGCCCTGTACTTTAAAACCTGGCACTCTTAACCTGCTAATTTAGAAACTGGAGGAAAAGAGATAGCTCATCAGACAGAACAGGCTCCAGGCCTTACAAGGTGCTTGGTTTGAAGGCAGGTCCATGCCAACACAGGGGCCCTTCTCCGCACAGGGGGCCCTAAGTGGGTTTAGTGGTGTGCTCCCTGCAACTTGCACAGGAGCAAAGTGACACACACCACAAAAATAGCAAACTTGTTACAAGGAATGTAATGCTTCAATATCATTCCCCTCCTTTCAGCCCCAACAGTGCAGACTTCTGAAATCTTTCTGTTTGAAGGAAAAAATGGTGACAGAATCATACGCATCTTGAATACAGCCCTGTTTATTAACAAAGCCTGTAGAGAGAGCTTTGTTTTGCCTAGCACAGTGGGATTAAATGACAAGAAGTTTTCTTGACTGCGCTCCCAAACCTCACTTTCAGTTGGAGCTCTGCCTTCCCACAAAGCTCATTTCTTTGTTTATTCTCTCCCAGCTAGCCTAAAAATGTTTTTTATTGCCTCCCTGCTTTCCTTTTCTTGCTGCTTTTAACACAGACTTTTAATATGGACACATCCAGATGCAAATTGAACCCCTACCTCTTATTTGCAACTTGCCTACTTTTAGATGGCATTCTTTTCAGTGTTTGGACTATCAGGAAACAGAGACCTTTAGGTATCAAGAACAGCCTTATTGGTTCAGATCAAAGGTCTACCTAGCACAGTATTTGTCTAACCATTCTTCATGATGCATCTGTTTACATTCAACCCAACCAGAGGCATAACATGTCTTTTGCTAAGACAGAAACTAGGGTCCATAGAGTCAAGGCTTCAGCTAGTTGGTAAAAGTGCTGAACACATGCCATGGTACAAACAGGCTCTGAAAATGATGCTTCAGGGGCAAAGCAAAGGCTGGCATCCCTGTCAGTAATACTCCTGCTTTGTAAAAATCAGATACCCAATGCAGCACTGCTACAGCATATAGCAGAAAGAACGGTACAGAGCTGGGTACTGCATGTGGAAAACACATATACTGTGATCGGTGACCCTGCTGACTGACATCATTAGAAGCTGTAATGATTTAGATTCACCAATTTCATGCCAGAACAAAAAAGAGAGAAATAAACACAATAGAGATATTCCTTATGTCAGACCACACATCTAGACAGATTAACAAAACACTACAGAAACCAACAGCCATTCACAAAAAGTGTCCATAAGCTGCTGGCTTAGCTGTAAAGAACTATAGGAAAGCATGTACTTTATGTTCTCACCTTTGCTATTTTCATCTCAGGAGGCTTCCTAAATATACCACTTTTTTTGTTTGTTTGTTTGTTTTCCCTAATTAGTAGTCCTCAAGTTAGGCTGACATCCAGGTTATTGTCTTCCAAGAAATTGTCTACTTTCTTGTTCCCTCAGTTAGCTGGAAAGGAAAGCAGCTATCATGTCATCAGCTTTAGCAAGGCTTGTGTCAAGTCAAGGACACGCTGCTTGGGATCTTCAGTCTCATAGCCATCTATTTACTGAGTACCAAATAAAATATATTAAGAACACAAATTTTCTAATTGGCTCTTGTGAGTTACTGTTTCACACACGCTTGCTTTACTTGGGGATGTCTATCATGTGCATCATCTGCAGCTCTAGGAGGGTAACCATATTATTACAGACCTAAGATACTTTGAAATAAATGCCAAAATATAATTAATATTTTTAAAGGATGATTACATAAACAAGATATTTTAATTGCAGTTGCCTAGTTTGTTTTCCTTGTAAGATGGTCTTTTTAATTGATTGTAACCTTGACAGTTGAATCAATTTTCCTTTTAAGTAATACCCTGTGCCATGTAGTTTTAGTGTTCCTGGTTGTTGGTGGTTTTGGTTTGGTTTTGTTTTTAAGAACGATTTTTGGGAATAACAAGGAAAAAAAATAGAAGTTCTTAGACCTCCTTCGGTGAAGGAGCCAAGCGATGAATAAAACGCCGCTGTTCTCTGGGCGCACGGTGGTGTCGGGGAGTTTTACATAACCAACTGCTGAAAATGCCTTAATGCGACGGGGGCCGTCCTCGCTCGCTCAAAGCCTGGCTGCCAAGTTTGCTGTTGTTTCCTTAAATACCAGCCAGGGCACTGCAAACCCGCAGAGCCTCTCCGAGCCCCGCCGCCGACAGAGACTGCGCTCCTTCCCAACGCCGCCTCCCTCCCAGGCTTGCGGGCAGCCTGACTCTCCGCAGCGGCCTTTTGAGCGCCGGGAGCGGAGCACTTCAGCAGCCACTCCGGGAATCTCACAGGGAATCACGGAGGGAATCCTCACTCCCTGCCCTGGGGCCGGGCGGGCGGAGGGGGTGTCTGTGAGGGGAGCGGCGCTGCGCCTGCGCCGAGGGACCCCCAGCGGCCATTTTGCAGCGTCAGGCGGGCGGCGAGGCGCCCCGGCAGCTGCGCAGAGGGGCCCGGGGGAGCCGGCGGGGAGGGCGGGCGGCGCAGGGCTATGAGTTAAAGAGCCGCCGCCGCCCCGCCGAGTTCGGGCTTTTCCTCCCCGGTGTTCCCCTCCTCCTCCCGTCCCTCGTACCGACAGCCGCCCCTCCCGGGCCGCCCCCACCCCCGCCAGCCGTGCCTGTCCCAGGGCCACCCGCGCCATGCCGTCCGTGCCGCTGCCGCCCAAGGAGAGCAACCTCTTCAAGCGGATCCTGGTGAGCCACCGGCCCCGCTCTTCTCTCCTCCTCCCGCCGCCGCTTCTCCCTCCTCTTCCCTCTCGTACGCCGGCCTCGCTCGGTGCCCTCCGGGTCACTTCGCCCGCCGCCGGAGCTGGCCCCGGCTGAGCGCACACGGATGCGGCGGCCGCGCTCTCCCGGGGGGAGCCGGGCTGCAGTCGTCTCCTTGCCCCGGTTCGTCCCTGCTTCCTTCCTTCCTTTGTCTGGGGCCCGCCGAGCAGGCCGGGCGAGCCGCCCCTGCTCGTGTCGGCGGCCGAGAAGGGCTGGTGTGGCCCCCGGCCGGGCGAGGGCGGGAAGCAGGGAGGGAGCCAGGCAGCCTCCCCGGGCCGCCGAGCGCCTTCGTGCCGCCCGCCGCGGGGACTGCGGGGCGAGCCCGGGCTGCGCCGCCGCTCCCCTCCCCGAGCAGCGCGGAAGCAGAAGACCTCGAAGCACGGCGCGAGCGTAGCAGGATTTGCTGTTGCTTGGTTGATGCCTGTCTGGGTTTCATTACCACCGAGAGCGTCGGTTTTGGTGTGGGGACCGCTTAAAAGTAGTTCGCTCGCTCAGCAGTTTTGAGTGTAGTTGAAGACGTGTGGTGGATTGAAGTATCCTGCTTCTCTGCGTCCTTTGGAGGACTTGTCTCAACTCCTTTGTGCTGGGCAAATTCCGTTCTTTGAGACTTAATAGTGCAAAGGACGTTTAGCATTTGTGAGAGAACTTTGGAGAAAGAGGTCGCTTTAGCTGTGAATTTCTAACTCAATCGCTGTATACCTTATCATGCTAACAGTTTATGAAAAGATAAAGCCCCACTCCTATCTCCGAGACAAGAAAGCACAGCACTCCCCTTTTCATGAACTTGTCAGTGTGATAATAATGGAGTTCCAGCCTCAACAAAATTGAGGTGTTTTGCGTCAGTTTACCACTCTGCAGGCAGAGGACGTCTGTGCAGCACACTAAGTAAACCTGCTGGCAGGCACAAATTTCTTAAGTTCTCTCTGAATTGGGTAGTTTCAGTACTTAGTGGTTCGGAGGTAGACATTTGGGGCTTCAGGAAGCTGAGCTCAAATAGTGTGTGTAAGCTCCTGCACTTTGTGTGGAGCTGGTGTGTTTCAGCAGGTGTTTCAGAGCTGTTTTCTTTTGGCTGCTTTATGTAGTATGCTGGTTTTAAAAAACTTACTGGTTCTTAATGGTGATTTGTTGCTTACTGCATGCTTATGGTATGCATCTTAGTAAGTCATTCTAGCACTCCTCTTACTCTCTGCTAAAAATAAGTGACTAATATTAGAACAGTTAAGTGATTATTCTTACTAGCAGCAGACAAGTTCACAGTAGCAGCCACTTCTGAAGTTTTTTTTGATTGAATTATAGATTGGCTTTTCTGGAGATAGTATTTTAGACAATTTTGTTTAAAAAAATATATTAAACAATAGATAAAACTGTTGGAAATGAGTGCTTAGGCAAGGAGGAGAGATACACAAAACTTCAGTGAAGTTCATACAGAAATTTACTTGCTTTCTAAAACTTCTAGAAGCCTTTAACTGGTGCTGTGTAATGGTCAGTTGCAGTTCCTAAAGTGTTGATCACAAAATTACTGGTTTATCTCTTCATATAGTGTCACTTCTTAAAACTTAATGTCTTACAATTTTTTTTCTGGCTATCTCTAACTCTTTCATGGTGTGCTGCTTTCTGGAATACTAATATTGGCATACTACACATGGAACCCTTTGGTTGCTTGACGTCTCAGTATTTTTGTTTATTAGTATAGCTTGTGGTGCTAAAGGCTCTTTAATTGAACCAGCTTTTGCTTACTTTGGTACTGCTAGGATATTTAAAATGCCCATAGCATCCCTAGTAATTTCAAAAATTGGGGGCAGGGATTATGTGGGAGGCTGCATAATGAGGCCCTACAAGCATGTAGTGATTTAATCACTTGGAACAGATGCAAGGGAATTGTACTCGTATATTAATTCTGTAGTATTTCTATGAATGCTCTGCAGAGAATTTGCAGTTATGAGAGGGAAAACTCATTTGGATATCATGAGAAATCCTGCACAGTGACTTAGTGTGTATGTAACATATGTCACAGGTTATCAATGTTTTGAACAAGATGCCCACGTAACAGCAAAGCTGTCAGAGCTGCCATGGCTAGTGTGGCCTCTTGGAATTCAGTGTAAGCTGGGAAGTCTGCCTGAGAAGCTGAGTTAAATAGCCTTTAAGTCACATCAGTTTGTGTGCTTGCATGCTTGGCAGCGCTAGAACTAGCTGACTTAAAACTAGCAGGTAGGTGATTAGGGCAGTAATAGCAATTGTAGCATAGGTAATAGTCCGAGTTGATCAGGACTACCTTAAGGTAGTGCTAAAGCTCCTTTCTTGCTCTATACTGTCTTCCAGCTCTGTTTTGTTTCTTAGGCCATGTTTTCACTCTTCTGCAAACATTTTTTCAGTCTAGTTGCTTTTCCTCTGGAAGATCTGTTGGTGCTTACAGGTGTGATGTTGTTTGGGAGTAAGGGGCTGAGCAGCTTCAGGCTCTTCTCTTCCACTTTACAGCCCCACAGAAGGCATGGATGGAGTATTTGAATCTGTTCCACTCTCATGGAAGGAGAAAAGCATCATAAATAAGAATCAATATAGGAGTGCTTGTGTTTTTCTTGCTAATTAAAGTCAGTCTTCAGCTTAGATGACTTTTTAAGTGTATGGGGCAGATACAGTCTAAAATAAACATACTCATGGTAACTTAGAAATGTTTCTTGTTGAGGTTGAAATTTGGTATCATGTATTTGTTTACTTCTAGTAAGCTTAGCCTGATCTTCTATTTTGTGTATTTAAAATAGAGTTGTAAACTTGCCTTCGGAGTATGTTTCAGTTTGAGCAGCTTTGAATATTTTTTTTTTTTTTTTGCCTTTCCTTCACCCACGAATCCATACTATAAACTGCCTCAGAATTAGTCTTAAACGTTAGCTTTACAGAATCAAATCAGCTGTCTGGACAGGGCATTGCAGTAGTCTTTGTAAGTAGTCTAGTAGGCTTTAGAGAAAAGCCTTGGGGTTCTTGTCACGCTTTCATGGCTTACTTGCCAAATTGTTTTTTGTTTTTAAGAAACGCTTACTGTTTTCTAGGAAGTGTTGGTGTCAGCCCAGGCTTATGCGGTGTAAGGTATGGCCTGATGTTTGTTTCATGCCTAATAGAGCTCTGGATAGTATCATGCCTGTAAATTACTAATCCTTTTGTTTCTTAGCAAATTCCTCATATAGCTGTTGCCTAAAATAAGGTTTGCTGCTTTAATTGCAGCTGACTAAAACTAATAAGACACAAAAAGTCTGCAAGTGTATAGCTTTGCAGCAGTGAGTTGTTGCTGCTCAGTTGATTCAGGCATGTATTTTCTGGTTTTTTTTAGGGTAAGGAAATGTTAGAAATTAAAGTGCCCTGTTTGAGGACTTGTTCAGCTTCTCTGTAATGTCCCTTTTGTTCTCCAACTTCTTCAATTACTTTAAGAGATTTATTCTTTGATAAAATATAGATATACAGGTGTTTGTAGGATTTAATTCAATTAATTCTTATGCATAGAATTCTGAAAGCTTTTTTTAAAATTTTATGTAATGAAGTAATAATGGTGTATAAGCTTGCAACTAGTCAGTCTTGTAAGAATGATGGGGGGGGGGAGTTACTGAACTATTAAACTCAGTAATTGGGATAAATGTTGTTATGCTAATTAGGGCCTCCCAAATGAGATAAATACCATAGCTGAGGTAGCCGTTATTAATCCACCACTGGAAGTTTGAAGTCTTTAACATTAAAGATCCATTCATTTTAAAGACAGGAGTTTGGAGCAGTCACTTAAAATCTTCTGGTGTAACTTAAGACTGATTCTTGGTGTGGTTGTTGCTTGTGCTGCTGAGGACAGGCTACCTAGGAAGAGTGTAGGCGGTTCCCTCCATACTGACTTTGAAATGAGGTGGTGAGGCTCCCTGGCCAGCTGCAAACGACTGAAATGACAGAATTTTGGAGGATAGAGGCCAGGCTAATGGTAACTGTGTCAGTAAGACTTTCATAAGGGAAAGTCACACTTCACCTTTGTCAGTGATTTGAAGGAGTCTCATTTGGAGGAAATCTTATCCCAAACAGATATTTTTGATTTAATTTTTCAAAAAGAGTTTGTGAGGGTTATCATGCAAGGCTCAGAAAGCAGGCTTCTGTGGAATGCTGTGGGTTGTTTCTTCATTCTGGACTTTTATTCATACTTTTATTTTAAAAAATGATAATTTTTCAGAGTTTAGTCCCTTTGTGTTTTATGCTGGAATTTTTTTTTATTTGGCTGTTTATGTGGAACAGAACAAGCATGACTAGCAGGAAGAGTTTAGTTCTAAACTATTTGTGGCACAAAAAGTGAAGGCCACCTGAAAGCTTCCATGTTTTTGGAGCAAGTTGAGTCATAACAAGTAAAATTGGTTGTAAATGAATGTAAGACTTGGAAGTCCTAATTCAATACAGACCTCGTATGGGCTGTGAGATGGATTACCCCAAGGTTTGAGATTTTTAGAGGTATTTGAAGTTTTGTTAAGATAGTTTCCCCTATACACTGCAAACTGGTGAATCCTGGGAAAAGGAATTTGCTGTTATGCTGCTGCCCAAGTACACTGCAAGTCTACGTTTGCAGTGCAGTGTTCTTTGCTCTTTCTCCTGGTTCTTCCCCCAAGCCTTCTCAGAAGGAGGAGTATGAAATTACCTTCTAGAGGGAGAAAGAACTTCACAGAAGATTCAGAAGTTAAGTAGGTACTTGCCTATCTTCAAGCTATCATGATTCCTTTTGATTCTGGCAAAAACAGTGGCTGCAAAGTAGCAGGCTCCAAATAGTTATTAACAAAATGTAGTTATACTGTGGAGGCCTTTGCTGGATGATTATTAGCCATATAAAAAAGCTGGACACTTTGAGGGGTGTGTGGTGGGGACCTTCTTTACTCTTTTTATGAGTGAAGGTAAACCCTTTTACTTGAAGTGTTGGTGAGGCACAAATAACTGGAGGCGGAGAATATTCAGGT